ATTTTTTGGTTTCAGGCTTTGGGTTTAGGTTTAGGAAAATGGCTAGGGGTCTAAGGTTTAGCGTTCAGGGGTTGCGGTTCGAAGTAGGGGCGCTAAAGCACGGGGTCCTTCTATACCTAGCATACGCGCCGTAGATACCTGCATTTTGTCCCCCACGTTCCAATTGCTGAGCTTTTGTAAGCCCTAAACCCTAAACCCTAAAAGGGCTTGGCTTTGCGGATGTGAGGGTCGTTGGGTTCAAGGAATCGAAGACATCCGAATTTTCCAGAGTGCGGGGCCTGAGGTTTGCACTTTCGCAGATTTTGCAAGCGCCTGCAGCAGCCTCTACCGGAGCAGTAGCTCCGTACCCTAAACCCTAAACCCTAAATCCTACACCCTATCCGCTTCCAGTGCAGCGAGTTCAATGGGTTCATTTGGTATATACGGATTGATATAAGGATTTTATTGGGATAATGGAAAATAAAATGGAAACTACTATGGTAGAAAGGGTTAATAGCAATCACTTTGAGGTGGCTTTTAGACGTCCTTCATCTTACCCTCAGGACACTTGTCTGCCATCGGTCGGGTATCTGCAAGCTTGTTGTCGGTGGCACGTCCACTCGTGGACCCTGCGTTCGTGGGTTTTTTGAGCATGTGCAGCCGCCACCGAGTTCCAAGAGCATACGTTCACCAGAGCATCCATGCCCAAACCATAATATCGTCCGTGTTCTAAGAGCATACGCTCACCAGAGCATCCATGCCCAAACCATCATAACGTTCGTGTTCCAAGAGCATACGATCACCAGAGCATCCATGCCCAAACCATAATGACGTTCGTGTTCCAATAGCATACGCTCACCAGAGCATCCATGCCCAAACCATAATAACGTTCGTGTTCCAAGAGCATACGCTCACCAGAGCATCCATGCCAATGGGCCTGTAAAATGGAAATCTGCAAAACGCCAGGGTTTTTGCACCTTTCAAGCATCCGTGCCCAAACCATGATAACGTTCGTGTTCCAAGGGTATACTTTCACCAGAGCATCCATGCCCAAACCATTTCAACGTTCGCGTTCCAAGAGCATACGCTCACCAGAGCATCCATGCCCTCTCTTTATGCTTCAAACCCCAAGTAACCCTTGGCAAGTGGTCTTTCTACCTCTTCTACTCCTCCCGAAAGTTTCGTTTTTTTCTACTTTCAAAATGTGCTTTTCGCTGTAGCGAAACCCTTAAAATCGCTCAAAGTTTTGACCCGTCTCAGTGTTTTAGGCCCTCCCCAAAATAAGCCTCTCAACTGCAAATCTGCAAAAAAAAAACCCAACGTTTTTGCAGATTTCAACTTCCCCAACCACTTTCCCTAGTCAAAAAACCAAGGGTCCACGAACAGACGTGCCACCTTGTTGTAGCATAGGGCGGGGCCCGAACATTTAGAGTTTAGGGTTGAAGGTTTAGGGTTTAGGGAAATAGGGGGACCGCAGCATAGATGCAACACAATGCTGTAGTCACTGTAGTCCTCAGTATGGATACACCCGACAAGGGACCCCCTCGTTTTGGACACCCAAATGTCGCAATGTAGAGGTCCACTTGAAAACATCATTTGCATTCGCGTAGTTGCCCAAGAGCTGGAGGTCTTCCTTTCCAGAAAAGGCCTTCTGGTTGGATGGAGCGTCAAGTCCCCGCCGCTACCAATCCTCAATCGGCCCTCAATCGGAAAACTTGGACAAACCAGGAAATGTCAACATAAGCTCTATAAACCTCAAACACTAGACACTCCAAACTCTCAACCTCTAGTAACCTACTTAAGGAGGGGGACTATAACCCGAAGATATACACCATTATACTATAGTAGTTTCCATTTTTCTTTTCCATTATCCCCAATATTCTAAAAAGTACAATGCAACATCACCAGCCCCCCCCCAGCTGCTGTAAAAGTTGGAGGCCCTTAGCCCTATAGGTCCCCACATAGCTATCCTTGTATCACCCCATATACCTACAGAAGGGTGCGCTGTGGGGCCTGGAGTCGTGAACATACCTAAAAACACGTGTTTTTCATGATGTTTAGCATAATAGTTAGGGATTAT